TGCCAGTTCCACACGATAGAATGCTACGATGCTATTAAAAAATATGGCACAGGGCTGGAGAGATAACTCAGTGGTCTAAAGCGCCTACTTAGGCAAGCTTAGGCAAACATAAGGACTGCAGTTCAATCTGTGGCACCACATACTGCACCAGTCCCGTCCCCAGGGCAGGCTGAGCCACCCATAAAAATAAAAATAAAAAAATTATGACCCAGGAGCCAGGTGTGGTGGGGCACTCCTATACTATCCCAGCACTCTGGGAAGCTGGGGGAAGAGAATAGCAAGTTCCAGCCTTATTTATACTCCCAGAGAAATTCGCTAGTGAGACCTGCTTTTAGAATAAAATATAAAGAAAGGACTAGGGATGTATCTCAGTGCCAAGGCCCTGGGTTCAAGTCCCAGTATGAGCAGGAAAAGTAAGAAAAAGAAGACTTGGGACAGTGAACACAGTTCCATGGAAAGGTGTGCTTAGCATGCCCTGGGTTCAATACCCAACACACACAGACAGACATAGAAGAATTTTAGTCATCTGAAGAAATGCCTCTGATATACTAGAAAACAAGCTACAAAACTACACACAGTGGAATGTGCTTTTTAAAAAATTACATATATATAATGTAATATGATTGGATCTTAAAAAAGAAGAATGACATTAGTAGAAAAACTGGAATCCCAGGGCCAGCAAGATAGCTCAGCAGACCAAAGTGCCTACTGAGGCAAGCTTAGGCAAGCGCAGGGACTGGGGTTTGATCCCTGGCACTACAGCACCATGTGTCGCATCAGCCCTGCCCCCAGGGTGGGCTGAAGTGGACAGAATCCAAGGTGTAGTGGCTCATGCCTGTAATTCCAGCACTGGAGCAGATGAAAGCAGAAGGGTCACTGCAAGTCCTAGCTGCATAGTGAGAACCTGCAACCAAAAAAAAAAAAAAAAAAAAAGGAATCCTATAGCTTACTAAATAACACTGTACCAGTATTACTTCCTGTTTGATCATTGTGCTATATCAGGTCAGATGTCAATCTTAGGGAAAACTGGTCAAAGTTTATACAGCAATTCAGTACTATCTTTGCAATTTAAACTTATTCTGGGCCCAGGACATAGCTCATGGGCCAGGTATATAGCTCAGTGGCACAGTACCTGCCTAGCAAGCACAAGGTCCTGATTCCTGGTACAAAAAAGGGCAAGAGGCCTGTGAGC